GTGTCCCGTTGATACATGTTAATGTATGGGCAGGAATAGTGGGTAAAAATTTAATAGGTCCATACGTTTTTGAGGAACGTCTGAATGGACATCGACATTTGGAGTGTTTACAAAATAATTTGAAACCACTATTAGACGATGTTCCATTAGACACCCAAGGAAACGTTTGGTTCATGCACGATCCATTTCAATATTGATGTACGAAATATGGATTGGGAAAGGAGGCCCAATTTCATGGCCACCACGTTATCCAGACTTTAACCCGATGGACTTCCTCCGGTGGGGATACCTGAAAAGATTAGTATACCCACAGTACAGATAAGGGACGAATTCACAAAGAATTAATTTCCATTGTGATAATATCAGACATACCCCGGAAATGCTTTTTCGTTTACAAACAAATAACAATCGTAGACTTAGGATGTGTGTGGAGGACCCGTAATTTGTTAACGAAGGCCTGTATGAAAAAAAATTATATGAAGAACTGATATTATTTGGACCTCGTCTATTTGTACTCGACTTTTTTGTACCGGGACACCCAGTATATAACATCTGCGTATAAGACAAGTATGAAAATTTGAAGCATACAATCTGTACTAGGCAGAATCCGACACTGGTTATTGAATGCATGGTGCCTGGGCTGACGTTCGCTGCACAGACGGTTCTAAAGTAAAGTCCGTGCCATTTTTGAATTGGTATTAAAGATTTTAATTATTTCTGGGTGATGATGGGCATGCGTGGTAAGTGGCGTCTGATTACTTTTAGTGACAATCATGGCTTTGTAACGAAATGGCGGGAAATTTTGGAAACATGCGTGAAAATTTTAGCGCTCTCCCGAGTGGTCGGTTTAGTTTGGTACGCTCGATGGCAGTTGGCGGTAATTGTGACTTTGCGGGGGAAATTCCAGAAATTTTCGAAACTGTAACGAAAATGTATTTTCCAGCCCTGCGCCTTCCGATTTACGTAGTAGGACGTCTATCGTCGTTTGTCTACAGTTTCGGGAGGTTTGGCAGAAACTGCGCTTTGAATGGAGAATTATTTTCGAAAGATGGGCAAATTTCGAACATTTTTTATGAATTTTAATTCATTATTAAAAATTTTCTTTCTAAAGAATTGCTATTTTTTTAATTAACATATCTAGAAAGTTAAAAAATAACGACTGTTCATCACACTTCGGTGATTTAAAGAAAAGCCAAAGAAATTTGTATGTTAAAGTGTGTATAAAATTTTTATTCAAATCTTAGCTGAGCGCTTTCGACTGCATAGTCATCATCGGAGCTATTCCTAAAATATCAACAAGAGGTTGAAATGACATTATATAAAGCAACAAATTTTTACTTACGTTAAATTTTAGATACCAAAAAATATTTAGGAAACGTTGAAAATCTTAATAAGTTCGACATAACAATATACAACATTAAATATAACATCAATTACTGGTAAATAACAAGAGAAAGAAACAGAAATTGACTAACAATGTCGAACACGTGGAGTGAAATAAAGTGAGGTTAAATGTTAAATGAAATTGAAAATTGACATTCTACAATTCTAAGGATTACCAACTAAGTGAAAACAAAAATTTTTAAAGTTAAACTACCAATATACTAATAACAAACTATCAGCTGTGAATTAATGAGATTCCCAAAGATACTTGAATAAAGGTTTAAAATTACAATTTAAATTGACTTGAGTATTAACACAGTTATTAGGGTTCCTTTTAATTTCTCTTAGAATTTCTAAGTCTTCCAATAAATTAATTTTATGAAAATCAAAATTATTATGAATATTATGAAGAATTTTGCTATTGTTTAAAGGTGAAAATGAATGGTTAGTAAAATTAATATGATGCCCAAAAGCTGACTTTTCAGGTCTTTTTAAATGTTCATTAATACGAATATTTAATGATCTAATGGTTCTACCAACATAGGTGACGGGACAATCATTACAAGATAACAAATATATACCGCTATTTGACAATTTATCCTGTGAATCTTTAACTTTAGAAAATTTTGAACGAATTGACTTATTTACTTTAAAGGAAATTTTGAGATTAGGAATACTTTTAGTTAAAATTTTTGAAATATTATCCGAAATACTACCTAAATAAGATAAAGATCTAAAATTGTAATTATTATCAATGTTAACATTTTGTGAACGAAAAGCTAAATTTCTATTTTTCTGAAACAAAATTCTATTAATAGTTCTCTGTACAATATCAGGAGAAAAATCATTATTAATACATAATTGTTGCAATATCTGCACTTCCTTATTGAAATTTAAATTTGACATTGGTATATTTAACAATCTATGAACGTAGCAGCGAATGGCTGCCATTTTATGTTGAAAAGGATGATTGGAATGCCTTGAAATTAAATGATCAGTTTGAGTTGGTTTTCTATATATGGAAAATTCTAAAGAGCAATTATGTTTGAAAATTTTTAAATCTAAGAAATTTAATTCATTATTATGTTCAATTTCTAATGTAAAACTAATAGAGGAATGAAGTTTATTAAGATCAGTAAGAATATTATCAATGACTGTAGGAGGACCTGTCACAAATGCAAGAATATCATCTACATATCTAGACCAATGAAAAATATTATTAAAGCTCAAATTACCATTATTACTAAAAATCTGCTTTTCTAAATTGTCTAAAAATAAATCAGCTAGCAAAGGTGACAAAGGATGTCCCATTGCTAAACCGTTTGATTGTCTATAAATTTTATTATTAAATTTAAAAATATCTTGTGACAAACACAGTTTTAACAAGGCCGAAACAAAAGCAATTTTATTAATACATACTTTTTTAGACTCTAAAATATCCAAAACAACCTTTACTGCCTCATCTCTCGGAACATTAGTGAAAAGATTACTTACATCAAATGAAACCATATGGAAATTATCCGGTAGATCAACAGATAGCAACCTATTGACCAACTCTGATGAATTTTTAATGACATAAACTGGTTTATAATCTAAAATATCTTGAATAAAAGAATTAGCAAATTTAGAAATTAAAGAAAAATGAGTATTTGTAAAACTAACTACCGGTCTAATAGGAAAATTGATTTTATGGATTTTTGGTAAACCGTATAATCTAGGGAGAGAAGGGTTAGATAATAAAATTTTTTTAAAATTAATGTCACCAAAGGAGGACTTATGAACAGACAAAAATTTTTTCAAATCTAATATCAATTATTTAATGGGTTTCTATCCAAAATTGTGAAGTTATTATCAATTAAAAAATGTTCTGTTTTACTAATATAATCGTTTCTATACATAATAATCAAACAATTACCCTTGTCAGCCTTGACAATAACAAGATTGTTCACTTTAACATTATTCAAAATCTTATTAACAATTGACTTTTGTTTATAATAATTAATCTTACAATTATTTTTATTTTGTTTAAATTGTAAGATATCTTTTTTGAGAGACAAAAAACAACTATTCTTAATAACAATTTTAACATCATCATTAAGTCTTACACTTTCCAGAATAGAATCAATTTCGACTGCAAATTCATCTAACAATTTATTATCCAAATTAACTTTCAAACCAAACTTCAAGCCATTACCCAAAAAGTCCAATTCATTTCGGATAATATTTCAAAAATTTTAACTAAAAGTATTCCTAATCTCAAAATTTCCTTTAAAGTAAATAAGTTAATTCGTTCAAAATTTTCAAAAGTTAAAGATTCACAGGATAAATTGTCAAATAGCGGTATATATTTGTTATCTTGTAATGATTGTCCCGTCACCTATGTTGGTAGAACCATTAGATCATTAAATATTCGTATTAATGAACATTTAAAAAGACCTGAAAAGTCAGCTTTTGGGCATCATATTAATTTTACTAACCATTCATTTTCACCTTTAAACAATAGCAAAATTCTTCATAATATTCATAATAATTTTGATTTTCATAAAATTAATTTATTGGAAGACTTAGAAATTCTAAGAGAAATTAAAAGGAACCCTAATAACTGTGTTAATACTCAAGTCAATTTAAATTGTAATTTTAAACCTTTATTCAAGTATCTTTGGGAATCTCATTAATTCACAGCTGATAGTTTGTTATTAGTATATTGGTAGTTTAACTTTAAAAATTTTTGTTTTCACTTAGTTGGTAATCCTTAGAATTGTAGAATGTCAATTTTCAATTTCATTTAACATTTAACCTCACTTTATTTCACTCCACGTGTTCGACATTGTTAGTCAATTTCTGTTTCTTTCTCTTGTTATTTACCAGTAATTGATGTTATATTTAATGTTGTATATTGTTATGTCGAACTTATTAAGATTTTCAACGTTTCCTAAATATTTTTTGGTATCTAAAATTTAACGTAAGTAAAAATTTTTTGCTTTATATAATGTCATTTCAACCTCTTGTTGATATTTTAGGAATAGCTCCGATGATGACTATGTAGTCGAAAGCGCTCAGCTAAGATTTTAATAAAAATTGTATACACACTTTAACATACAAATTTCTTTGGCTTTTCTTTAAATATCTAGAAAGGGTATTATTGTTTTGTATTTCCAAAGTAAATGGTTCCTATTATCTAGAAGATTTAAATTCCTAATGTTAAAATTGCAAAAATATCGTTTTTTATTTCAATTATTAATACGGTTTTCTTCAAAAACATCATATTAGAGTGCGCGATATAGAGTGACGTGTATTTTGTATTTGTCTGATTTTTGTTTTGTTAAAATATTCAATAAATAAAGACAAAAACAAAAGAAGACTATGCCGCAAATGGATCCAACTCCAGACAATATAAACAACTACCTCGACAATCACGTAGGCACCTGTCAAAGCGACAATCAAGACGTCCGAAAAACAACCGCAATCTCGAACAAATCAGACAACCGAAGCGCAGACAATTTTCATCTTGGCACGCCGTGGAACGCCGCCAAGCGGCGAAGGCGGCACGTCCACAGTGGCGTGCGCTGCAAGCAGATCCGAGCGGGTCGCGAAAGAACTCCCAGCGGGGGGACAGCCGCTATAAAGGCCAAGCGCCGTCCGCGAGCCTCCAGTGATCCGTACCTCAGTGAACAGAAATGAAGAGCTTCGCGTGTTTGTTGGTGCTCAGTGCACTCACTATCTCTGGTATGTACTGGTGCATTTTTCAACGCCTGGTGGATTAATATGTGTGACTGTGGTCGCGGCTAGCGGTGATCTCTCGGAGAAGTTCTGGTATTCCTAACAGAGATGCAGGGGTGTACAGTGAAATGTGCCCGAGAACTAGATCAGATCGTCCCCAGGAAAGCCGGAGGCTTTTCTGATTATCGGGAGCTGAAAGTAGAGTAAATTCGATTTCGCTTGTTGTTTTCGTATTTTTTCGCTTTCCACTCAATTTGTTGTACAAGTTCGTGGTGTTCCACGCTGATCGACCTTCGACATTTGAAAGTAACTTCCAGTTCTTTCGACGTAGTTATGCACAAAAAAAGGACAAGTTTCGTTAAAAAAAATCGCAGAAAAAAACGCCGTTAGCTTGTCTTGTTGCTTTTTTTAAGTCAGTTAGTTTTCTGCATCTCTGTTAGAAATAAGGGCAAACGATCGCACAATCGAACCATAATTAGTTATAAGTTGAGAATGTGTCAAATTTCAGGAACGTATTGTTTTTTCTTCAAATTGCGGAAAAAAATCGTAATAGCTGCTTTTTCTAATCTTGTTCTTGCACATTTTTGGAAACTTTAAGGATTAAACGAATTAAATCAAAATAGCTCAGACCATTTAGTTTATTTTGACATCTTTTAGAAGAAGATTCTTAAAATTATATAAAAAGAAATATAAGCTTTATTTATGTCCATTTTAAAAAAGTATTTGCAAGGATTTGAACAAAAAAGTTTGACAAAATGACAAAATATTTGCAAGACTGAAATTTTTGCGGAATATAACTAACAACCATGAAATGAAATATCGTAAAAATATATATTATGGCAAACTCAATTCTTTTCATTATTATGTGCCTTCATTTCCAGCAACATTAAAAAAAGACTTGTAAAAATATTTTCAGAATAAAAAATTGCATTTTAATAATCCATTTAATGTAAACACCCAGTGTATTTAATCATTCCTATACATTCTTTTGTATTAAAATCATTTGAAGTAGCAAATAACCAGATATTGAGAACAAAATATTTTTACCACACTGAAAAAAAAACTAAAAATTGATGACATCTTGTTTCAAAACTTGTAGGTTCTGTTTAATTTATCAAGTAAGGCTTCATTTCACTTTCTAAGGTTCGTAGAATTTATCTTTTAATTAAAGACTTAAATTTTATAAATCTGTGTTTATATTCTAAATAAAACATTATTTTTTATAAAATTTTGAACACCAAATTCGACTTTCATGTAATGACAAAATATTTCTTGTTGCAAAACTGAAATGACTGACCACAAAAAGAATCTGTAAAAAATAGATACTATGACAAAACTATCTCCCAACAATGATAGAATAACTTAATTTTTCTGTCAATAATATCCCATATATTGATGACTAAATTTGACTTTGAATATGACAAAATATTTCATGATGCAAAACTCATGAAATAGCGAAAAAAAATATCTAAAAAAATAGATATTATGGCACAAAAATATTTTACGAAAATTATGGAATTATTAAAATTTTTTATTATTATGTACCACCATCTTTAGACATGTATTATCAAAAAAAAAACAGAGCTTATACAAATATGTAGTCTAAAAAAAAGTATTTTGGCAATTCATTTAATGTATAACACCCCGTATATTTGATTATGTTTGTACTTTTCTTGTATTAAAATCACCTAAATCAGTAAATAACTATATAGCTTTAAAAACAAGAACATTTTTACCATCACATTAAAAACTCAATATGTATGACACCTTATATTTTTAGTCACATTTTCAAAAAAAAATTAAAATAACTTCAGATAAAAAAATGCATTTTGACATTTCATTTAATGTAAACACTACACTTTTTCGTGTTAAAATTAAACATTACGTTTTAATTAAACATACAAAAAAAACTCAAAATATATGACACCTTGTTTCAAAACTACTTGTATATTTGTCAAATATGGCTTTTACTTTTTAAGATTCGTGGAATTTATCTTTTGAAGAATTGTTAATTAAAAATTTCTCTATATTAAAGTGGGTTTAGGAAACTTATGTTAACATGAACACCTGGTATATTCAACTTTTTTTTTGTTATAAAATCATTAAAATAACAGCAAACAACTAAATGCTAATCTAGAAGACTAAATTTGACTTTGAATATAACAAAATATTTCATGATGCAAAACGCCTGAAATAGCGAAAATAAATATCTAAAAAATAGTTATTTTGGTACAAAATTATTTCTCAAAAATTATAGAATCCATAATATTTTCTATTATTATTATGTACCACCATTTTTAGACATACCTGTGTATATTTAAAAAAACAAAAAGGCTTATAAAAATATCCCCAGTCTAACAAAACGCATTTTGGTAATTCATTTAACATAAATATAACACCCCGTATATTTGTTTATGTATATACTTTTTCTTCAATTAAAATCGCCTAAATCAGCAAATAACTAGGTAGGTTTAAAAACAAGAACATTTTTAGTACCACATTTAAAAAACTCAAAATGTATGGCACCTTGCTCCAAAACAACCTATATATTTTGACCAAAAATGAAATTTCAATTTGCCAAATAAGACTTTGTTATAAAATAAATAAATAAATAAGTTTAAGATTTGTAGAATTTATCTTCTAAAAATTCGTTAAAAATTTCTTTAAATTAAAAAAGTGGGTTTATCCTTATCCTGTATATTCAACAAAACTTTTTATTATTAAAAAAACATTAAAATCAACAAATAACTAATTGTTAAGAACAAGAATAAATTTTTACCAACACATTTTCCAAAGAAAAAATTTCTTCAATTTTTAAAAAAGTATATTTAAGGAAGATTAATTACAACTTTTATACCTTTTCATCATTTATGTAAGCAAATCACCAGGCATTCCTTTAATACGAATAACGCTCCCAACAGTGTGCACGCTCCTTAACGAGAATTTTCGCCCCGATCAGCCCCGCCTATGAATTTAAATATATAGATCTTTCGCTCGCCAAACGAGACTAGTACGACTGCAGTCCACTAAATCAATTTTTTTATTTCTCGCGACTTTCAACCGCCGATTTCTATATGTCGTTTTGTGAAATGCAAAATTCCACTCCGCCTCGGTTTGCTCGGTGCAACATTGCGTTGTGACACACAATCCGCACCAACGTAACTTTCATGTGGAAACATGGTCTTTCTCGAACGGATTCTGCTGTCCATATGTTATACGATTTTTGGTGATTTGTCGACAGGCTTTCTTCTGCGACTGTTGTTTACCTCATTGTTTCATTTTTAGAGTACAGTTTGCTGTACAACTAAAAAAAGATCGGAATCCGATACCGCTTTTTGAATTTTTAGTATTTTTTCTAGGACTAACAACTCCGCAACAAAATTTCTCAAGATTTCTCAACTAACAAAACACAATTTTAGCTATGTGAAAAACGTTATAGTTGCACAAGTGACAGTAAACCTATTGTTAAAGTTACGTTGTTAAATTGACTTTTTTTTAATGAAGTTATTGTAAGCCACTCCCGAGCGTTTTGTACAGAGGTAAAAGTGGTGTTGAATTATTTGGCCTTCTAGAAAAAATGTATGAAACTCGAGCATATGATTCGTTTCAAGGCGAGCACATTTTCCTCAATTCTAAACACTTACAAACGTATGACGCGGACTAAGCGGAGCTTGAAGTAAACAGTGTTTTGTTCCCAAAACAAAAGAAGGGAAGATATTCAATGACAACTAGACAGCTCTTCAAATGCGACGATCCCTTTCAAGCAATGTTTAACCGAGCTTGTTTTGCGACATTTTTTCTACCAGTTACGATAGTAAGTCAACCATTACCTCTCAATATTTACATCTTTTACCCAAGAAATATTCCTCTACTGTTCGAAAAAAAATGTCTGCACCTTCAACAGGCTCTAATTATGATCTACAGTTTGTTCGATTGCCGAGTGCTTGTTTGGAAAACATGATAATGACCTTTTGTATCAGGAACTGCCACATTTCAGTTATTTTGCAGCGAAAAAAAATCGTACCAGTTAACCTTCGGTACCCGGTGGAATTTGTTGAGCAACTTACCGTTTAGTTATTCATTTGTTTTATTTATCACGCAGATATTTATGCCTACAATGTGCAACAACGGAAAAGAAATGCGTATGGAGTGGTTACAGGATAACCTTGTTTAGTGAGTTCAGCAGGGGATAGTCCATACGAGGCGTTTTCTCCGTGCAACTTCAGGAAGTTGGTGCTAGCATTTTTTTGGGTTAAAAATATTAGAAATATTCTTCAAATATACACAAATGAATGAAACCTCGTATTCTTTGGTGAATTTTAAGTGGAGTCTTTCCTATAAATTTTTTATCTAGGACGCCTTGTTTAAAAGATACAGTGTTAAACTTCAAAAAATATTTTTAATTCTTTTAAATAATTTAAAAACTAGTCAATGAAATATTTTGAAATTGGGCACATGTACTTATGTAAACATTGTCCAAAATCTGAGGGCTTTTCCTAAAATTTACATGCTCCAGTAGCGGAGGTACAGGATATCGGTGGCATATTTTTCTAAATAGACCATGATATTTTCGGATTCTTCTTTCAATTTTCTACAAATTACTACTCTCTTACGTTTTTCGAAAAACGCCTGATTTTCGAATAAAACTTAAGAAACCAACTGAGAACACACTTAAAATTCGCCAGAGAATACGAGGTTTCATTTTTGGTCACCATTTGTGAATCACCCTGTATAAAAAGTGATGTGGTGTGAAACTTAAGCTTATGCAAAAATTTACCAAAGTATCTGTCCACCGGTGACTCGATGTAAGTAAAACATGGAGTTTTGGAACAAAATTACGTACTTTGTTTATTGCATAATATAAAAATCGGTTAGTTTTATGCGTCAGATATTGATTTATAAAACCGAAAGTTGTATGCAGCGTTACATAACAAATTGTCGGGTACCAAAATATTTCCTAATAATCTGCCTACATATGTCTGTGTTTACAATTTCTCCAGTGATTT